ACCAGAAAGTAGCAGCCCACCTTTGCTCCTTTCTTGCATAAAAGGGTTGAAATAAGAGATCATCAAGCCAGGATGGTACCTGAGCCCCAAATCCCCAATCTTGATCTTTGAGAGTACAAATATATCTGTCCTCCGCTTCCTTTTTCTCTCTCTTCCCTTTTGTGGTTTGCAGCTCAGGGATACCTCATATGGTCTGATCCCTGTTCCCTCCTCTTCGTTTAGCCTGCAGGTAGAGTCCCCCTAACATGGATTAGCAGCTGGGACTTGGCTGCCCAGGAACCATATCCCTAACAACATGCACCTTCTGTTGTCTCTGTTCTCCTAGTTCAGGCTATCCAGGGATAGATCTGTGTCTCCTTAGACAACCCAAAGCAGCTAGGCAAGCATGTGGAAGATTGGCTGAGCAAGGAGTGTCTTAATTCCAGAGGATCACTGTGATTTTAGAAGCATCTATCAGCCTGTATATGTGATGGAAAGCCTCTGGAGCCAACACAACTGAGTTAGTGTTCCTAGTTATGCTCAGCTCGCACCACACAGAGATCAAAAATAGGTCTGCTCTGCCTCCCCTTTCTTCCTTCCTGCTTTACCAGGCAGCCTCATACACAGGGTACAAACAAGACATTTTGCACAGAAGTTTAAGTTGTTCTTAATTCAAATCTCAGCATCTGTGTGCGCTGACATTCTGCTTCAGCACCTCTCCATCCTCTCGATACCGATGCGTCCTCCTAGGAAGGTCACTGCAGACCAGGCTCTGTTGCATTATGCCAGGCTCTGCGTCTGAAGGGGACTAGGTGCTCTGTCAGAGGTCCTTCTCTGTGGCTTCTTTCTCTATAACTTATTTTCTGAATATAAGCAGAAAAATGCTCATTTGGGTGAGTTTCCCTTTTGTGAAATCCATAGTGGGAAGCAGTCTCTTCCCCTCTCAGCACCAGTGGGAGTTCTTCTCCTTTGTTTTATCAGGACAAGAATCTCTTGGCTGCTTCTGAAAGCAGCTGTAATGTGAGGAACACGATCTTAGATTTGAATCCTTTTTCACTGGAGAGGAAAAGAAATTACCATTTTACCTACTTGCGCAAGCAAGGTCTTGTCACCAGTTTCCAAAACAGTAGGTACAGGGAAGGACTTTGGATATAACACAGGGAAGGTCTCTTAGCCTTCTGTGCATCTCCACAGTCACACTTGTGCTGTGGACCCAGTGTGCAAGGCCAGAAACTGGAGGTCATAAACCTATTCGTAAACCAGCTCCAGTGTTCGCCAGCGTTGCTTTTCAGAGGTGCCATTCAGTGCAGAAAGAGCAATGCTCCCTGCCCTTGCAGTATTTGCTAACTTGGGTGGTAACTTTCATAGGATTAATTGGGAACAGTCTTCTAGGCCATGATTACACAGACCTGAGAGCTGGCAGTAACTGCTAGCACACCTTCAATTTGGTAGGTACCTATGTGCAGAAACACTAAGGTCTGTCCATCTGTGTGTGCAATAACCTTTGGCAGAGCTTTTTCTTGTTCCTTGTTAAAGACTCTGGTGCCAGTTTCTCAAAGACAAGGTGCTGCTGAGAGGGGTGCAGTGCTGCTGAATTAGCTGTCCCAAATGGAGACAAGTGCATTGGCTGCTGCTCCAATGATTGCAGTAGCTTTGTGGAAGGAATGTGCAGAAGAATTTTGAAAATTTCCTATCGGCATGCACAGCACATCTCAGCCAGAAGTGAGGTAGATAGCAAGAGGAGGTAGCACCTCCTTCAAAAAGGGAAGAGGTTTGCATTTGCACGAAGAGTGAGCCAGGCATCTCCATCTTTGGAATAGCAGTGGAGGTGAGCTGACTGATGTGAATCTGCTTCAGATTCCAAATCTGCTTTTAGCTCCAGATTTGTTTTTTCATCATGGTAGTGTTGAAACGGTGCTCTGGGAGTCTTCACAATGCGTAGGAGGAACTTCAGTGATAAGGAATGTAAAAAATGCTTCGCTTGCGAGTTAAAATTGGAGAGAAGGGAGGAGAAGGAATCTAGAAGAAACTTGTACCCTTTCCCCAGTTCTTACCAAGTAAGGTTGCATAAAAGGCTCTGCTTGTTGATCTGTGCACTAGTTAGTCAGATGAGCTGCCCTTTGTCTGAGCAACAGAGACCTTTCCCCTCTTCCCCTGCTCAGCTTTTTGAAACAGTGCACTTTGTCCAAGCCACTGCCTAGGAATTGCATGGACACGGTGGATGGAGTAGGAAAATCTGGGTTCTCCAGCTGCTATTGGATACTGACTCAATTAAGGAAGATTTCGACAGATGAAAGTGCTTGCCAGGTCTCCTCTGGTCCGTGAGGAGTCCACTGCTAGAATGCTGTGCAGGCATCTAGCTTATCTGCAGTTGAATTATGGATGTCTGTTATTTCTAGAATTCAGCAAAATCCCTTTTGGAATTGCAGCTTCCTGAAATTAGCTTTAAGCGTGGCTGTAACCAGGCTTTTCTTTTGTCTCATGCATTGCACAGAAGTGGTATTTATGAAGCTGTAGTTCTCTCATTTGGAGCAAGCATACTTCTGGGCAGATTATGGGACCAAGCAGGACAGAGGGCTTCACTTGCTGATCTAATAACACCTTAATATTTATATGGTACACTACCCTGTACAACAAACGTGGTGAAGACCTGATCGTATAACAACTCCATCTTCCACAGATGGATGGGTCTTAATAAAAAAATGCAGTGAGGTGAGGCAACTGAGAACAGCAGGGAGGAACCAGAGGAGGGGGAAGACCTTGTTTTGGATCTCAAGCAGAGAGCTTTTGTGTCATGCAATAACATGGTGGCCAGAGAGGTCAATTCCTTTATTCCACAGGACACATGCAACCACAGGCCTGGCATTCAGGGAGTCATATAACACTACTGTCCCCTTTCTTCCAGTCTTAATCCTGGTGTGTCTTTTTCCCTCCAATGAACGGGTAATGTTTCAGATTAAGTCATGTGCACTGTAGTAGAGCGATTACATACAGAGAAATCACAAGCTGTGATTGTTTTAGATTTTATATTGATTTCAACCAAGTTCCAGAGTTGCTGCTTTGATCTAGCACATCTACAAAATAATAAAAGATGTTTTCTTTGAAATAAATTTTATCTTGCTGTGTGTACATTTCATGAGTATGATCCTGGTCTCTTTCACATCCTTGTCCTAGAAGATTATCAGGACAAATTCTGCCTTTTGTTCTGTTCATCGAGGCATTCTCAGATTTTCTTGCGGGAACCACCCTAAAAGATCATCCCCCCTCCAGCCATTCTTCTGACTGAGCCAAACTGTAATTCCTACAACTTCTACATCTGCCACAGTCATGCGAGATGAGGGCAACTTTGACCATTCCCACTCTGTAGTGGGGAAGAAACAGACACATCACAAGCTATGATGCCCTGACTGACTGTTCACAGCCAGGAATAGTTTTGGGATGCCACCTGCGTGTGAGATGCTTTCAGGGTGGGCATTTAGTTGTGACCTGACCTAAGCAGTTGTTTGTAATGATTATATCTGCTGGGTGGGGAAGCTAGATGCCACCAACTTAATCTGCTACTACAGATGAAGAACAAGCCTAAGGGCATATGGAAAGTCATCCTCACCACTAGAAGCTTACTTGGCTTTGTGTTAAACCCTTTGTGATCATAAAAGAAACCCAGCTTGTTTGTCAAGAGCCATGCCCTGGTACCTTTTGAAAAAGGTGGAGTTAAGGAGGCATCTACTAACTGGCAAACTCAGATTAGAGCCAAAACCTTCCACTGATTTCAGCAGATGGGAAATTAAAGATACTACTGGGTGAAAACTATCAGCTTTAATAATCTAGAAATACCCAATTCACTTGCATTGTTCTTACAAGATATTCCACCAGAAGGTTTTCCTTCTGCAAGGTTCATGGGAGGCACATTAGACAACAAAACAAGCACGATTCAGAGTCCCGAGAACTTGATGCTGAAAGCAACAATCGATAAAGCAGTAAAAGCAGTTTTGGAAGGACTGGACAAGGATTCCCATTCTCAGCAGAGAGGCAAATTGAATTGTATTCT